AATAACTACTTATTCTCTACGGGGAAATGGAACACTGATATCAGTAGAATGGACTGGTCTCTACGGGGAAATGGAACATTGATATCAGTAGAATGAACTGGTTTGTACAGGGAAATGAAACATTGATATCAGTCGAATTTACTGGTCTGTACAAGGAAATGAGACACTGATATCAGAAAAATGGACTGGTCTAAGTTAGAGAAAACAATATTAATGTAAGCATATTAGATAGGTTTAAACAGGAAAATGCAACACTGTTTATCTTTTTTAATATGCAAGATTTAGCTGAATTGGTCACCTGCTTTGTATGCACTATAGTAAATTTTCTACTAGCTGCAGCCAGTGGAAAATTTAATATAAATTAATAAAATATAACAGGACAGTATAAAAATAATACTTATTTAAAGCATTTAAAAATGTTTTGAATATTTAAAGTTAAACACTGCTTAAGTGGAAGGATAAAAGAATTCTATTCTAAAAAAACATACTTCTTTATACCTACACTATGCTAGTTCTAATGTTAACTTTAATTTCCTTTTCATATTTCCAATTTAATTTTAAATTATATTTTATTGTTTAATATAACTATAAAAAGAAACTTAAAATGTGAATTCAAGAGGGTACCTTATTGGAAAAAATTCCTGGTATAAAAAAAATCATGCCGGCGTATGAAACACCGGTTCTGGTATGATACTGGATCGGGAATTATACCAGACCCAGCGTTTCATCAGCCGGTATCATACCGAAGCTGGTGTTTCACAAGTTAGCAGAATACTGGCTCTGGTATAAAACCTAAATTGTAGTTTCATTATCTAGTATCATGCTAGAGCCAGCATATACTGGTACTAGTGTACTGTGCTCAGCATACTGGGATAGTGTTTTAAAAACTGGTTTATTCTTAAAACAAGCATAGTGTGTTACTACAGTTTGATACAGGAACGTTAGTGAACAGCTCTGAACAGGAAAATAACACATTGATACACAATTGGGTAAATAAGTCAATTCACCTGATTTATACCGAGAAATAAAATACTGACATCAATTAACACTTTATCAAAAGCTATAGTTTGCATTATGTTTATAAAAACAAAAACAAAAATTTAAGCTTCTTTATAGTTCATGAAATTTTTTTAAACAATAAATTAAAATGTTAGAAAATTATTGTCAATAATTTTTGAATCTACAATACTACACAAAAAATGTTTTGGAGCGGCATTATAAAAGTACAAATGGATTCCTCAGATTTTATGAAAATGGAATGGCGATTAGAAATGTTACTTTATAGATAGCCAAAAACCTGACTAAAATAAACAAGTCAACTTATTGTCATTTCAAGACCCCCTCCCCACATGTTTGGTATAGCATTCTGGTAGTAAAAAGTTCAATACTTAAAAAAGAAAAAAATGACAGAACAATCTTAAAGTATACTATAGGCTTTAAATCCTTATACACACAAATGATATACCTATTTATTTGATTTTTATCTATACATAGCTTGTGCTAAGCATTTGTCATCTAACCAAATACGATAAAACTGTAAATTTGGCAACAAAAAAAATTGTTACTTTGGGGAAAGTATTGGCGAATGCTGTTTTCGAACAAAAAGAAAAATTTATCCATTCATTGCTCATTTACTCCTCCCCAACAGCAAAATGACTCTTAATTTGTATTTGCATTTTTATAAAATAATTCAATTTATAATAAATATGTATTTTGCTTAAAAGTTTGCTACTGAAAAAATCAATTATAAAAAATTGTTGAGATTTGCCTTTTTCTTAGAATTTTAAAAACTGGCAAATAATTTGAAATCCTTAGCATGGGAAATGAATATATAAATAGTAATATCATAATTAAAGGTCAGTAAAGAAAAAGAGCAGGTAAACAAAGAAAACACAACACCAGCAGCAAAATTATAATGATAATCATTCCTAATACAATGGAAAATTAACCAGTAAGAATAACCTAAACCAAATTTACAAAAATTATAGTTTAAAAAGAAATAAAATTAGCACTATAATGAGAAAATAATAAAACACCATAGTAAAAGGCGATGACATAGATTAATTTGCGACAAGGATTGAAACGACTTTATGAAGCGATGGTAAGACTCGTTTAATGTAGGCATTTATAAAAAAGT